CGGAGTGGGCGGGCCCCTGCGTGTGCTGGGCCCCGTGGGAGCCCCGTGGAGGCTTTCCCACACAGGCTGTCCTCACCCCAGCTGTGGGCCCTGCCATGATTGCGACAACAGCCTGTGCCCACACGTGCCTACACAACGCAGCCACGCCGTCCTAGCCCAATGCCTGGCTGCCGACGGCTCTGCTCCCAGAGCCGCGTCCCGTGGACAGGAGCACGCTCCCCTCAGGCGCGGGGTCCCGGGCAGAGGAAAACGTCACAGGCGCCTCATGGGAGTCACGCATACCGACTCGAGCGTGTACCCACGGAAGAGCCTTCTGGCTGCAGTGGTCAGGAGAGAAAGGGGAGCCATCTACCAAGGGCTGGGGGCCACATGGGGACAAGGCAGCAGGTGTCGAAAGGTGCTGGGAGCGACAGCACAGTGCAGGGCAGCCCACAGCCAGAAGCCCCAGGGAAACGACGCCCCCGTCACACAGGCCTCTGACACAGGAAGTCCCGGAGTGGGCACGGGCACAGCATGCTCTGGCAGACGAGGGAGCTGGGCCTGCCCGTTCCCCACCGCAGGGACAGCCCGTTCCAGGCCTGTGCACATGACCTGCTTGGGGGCCAGCTCCCCACGGGAAGAGGCGCCCACCCGTAGGAAACGAGTTGGTGACAGTGGAGGAGTTAGACCAGGGTCTGGATCTGGGTGAGGAGCTTCCAGTGCGGTGGCCTTCATGGCAACAGGAGCCTGGCCGCCCGCACTGCCCACCGGGAACACTGCCCACCGGGACCGCCACAGACTCGGAACCCTCCCTGCAGGCGGCACAGCGGAGGCCGGCTGGCGCTAGGCTCCCTCCAATGCAGGTATCACCTTCTCAATCGGCCCGTCAGGTCCCGTGGCCACCTGGATGTGTCCCGGGCGCTCTCCCTTCTACGCGACTCTCACGCCCTGCTAGTACCTTGGGCTCCTGGCCGTGCACCCTCTGCCCTCTGCGGGGTCGTCTGGGCTGAGGGTGACCTGGGGAGGCTCAGCACCTGCTGTCTCGTGCTGACGGGGCCCAGACACCAGGTGTGCCCGAGCACTTGCAACCGACGGGGACTCGGGTCTTCACGCCACGTGGAGAGCGCGGCCTTCCACGTCTCCTCGGTGGCGGGAGGACGGGGGAGACGGCAGCGGCAGTGTGAGGGCTTTTCCAACCCCAGTTTCCCATCTCCCTTTTTAACAAACAAACCCTTCAGGCAGCAGGGATGGCAGCCCAGCCCGCGAGACCAGCACCCTCACTGCGGGCCTCCCCACTTCTGGCCCAGGGCGAGGCCACCTGCAGGGACCACGCGGCCTCATTGGGGAGTCCAAGCGTGGTCACACACAGCAGCCGCCCCTCATCACTGCAGGGCCTCCTCCGGTCGAGCCCAAGCCCGAACCCCGACCTTCTGCATCTGCGGAGAGTCGGTGCTCCCTCGGGAGGTGGCTGGCCTGGTCCACGGAGTAGCTGGCACACGGGGTAGCATGGTCAGACGCTGTCCTGCAAGCCTTCCCTCGTCTCTGCAGCGCCACCTCCCGACATGGCCGGCGGCCCCAGCCTGGCGTGCTCGGACGCACTGGAGCTTCTCTGCAAGAGGCTGTGGTCCACCCGTGTGGGTGGGTGATCAGGTGACAGTGCCTCCCGGCATCACTAACAGGTGCCCTCCAGCAGCCCGAGGGGCGAAGTCTCATCTGCCGTGTGGGGTAAACATCCCAGCCCTGGGGTTCTGGGACAGACGCCTGGGTCTCTTGAAAAGCGGCTTGTGACAGTCTCTGCAGAGACACAGTCACTGTGGTACAGGAGAGGCACAGTAACTCCGCGACGTAAAGAAAAACGGGGAGCAGCATGTGGCATACTGGTTATGTCGCTGTCTCCCATGTGGTCAGCCACGGTTTGAGTGCCAGACCTGTGACTTAAAAACTCACGCCAGGCGCGTGTGCAGGCGTGCCCAAGATCCCGAGAGGAGAGTGGAGGGGAAGGGACTGCGGCATGGCCACGCCCCGGGGGTGGTTTCCCCCTTTCTCTCTGGCAAGTGCACACGCCCCACAGCAAAACTCTCTAAAAAAATAAAAAAGAAAAGAAGAAAACGACAGGAGACCGAAGGACGGGGGACAGATGGACAGAGGCCTGACGGTCGGCCGTGTCTCCAGGACGTGAGGACTAATAAGCCGTAGGGCTAAGACCTGGGGAAGCTGGGAGAGCAGGGCCGGGGGACGGGGTGGGACCGCAGGGGACTCCCGCTTGACAAGACCCTGCGCTGCGGGGGCGCCCCGTGGGAGGGCCTGGGTTGTGCCCAGGGGCCTTCCCGGGGACGCTGGCATGCCGTGCTGCTTGGGCAGCCGAGCTGGGGCATCTGTCTTTCTCGTTCCTTTTCAAGGAAGAACCTGGACTTGCCCTTCCGCCTGGAACGAGGAGACAACAAACCAGATGTGCACCCCGAGGCCAGCTCTGCTGTGACGGCGCCACCCCGAGGCCGGAGACGGCTGCACTGCCTGGCTGCCCAGAGGGGGCTGGGCATCCAGCGAGGGGCAGTCAGAGGCCCGGGAGCCCAGAGGGGACCATGGGGTCCAGGCCCACACTGGCCACCGAGGAGCAGACCTGCCTGCAGGGGTGCGGCCTGCTGGGCACAGCATGGGAGGCCTCTCTCGTGGGTGACGTCCCTGTGACCCTCTGGTTCCAGCCTAGACTCCCGGGTGGGCAGCGCTCTGGGGACACAGAACTCCGGATGCGCAGGGCTGAGCCCAGAGGCGGGTGGTCGAGCCACGAGGAGGCCACCTCATGGGGCTGACAGGCGAGTCGCCACGGGGTGGGCGGTTCTCTACTCCAGACGCTGCCTCGGAAACCCTCCCGAAGAAAGCTCGGCGCTGGAGGGGAACGCCGGCCCCACACTCCCTTCGAGACCAGGGAGAGCTTCCGAGCCAGGCCTGCTGGGTTCTGATACCAAAACTGGGCAAAGACCAGCGAGGCGGCAGCACAGCAGCCCTGCCCGGCCCGGCCCGAGTGGGGATGCGGCGTGACCAAGCAGCCTCCGAGAACCAGGCCGACGAAGGCCCGAGGCCTTTTCGCATAGAAAAAGTAGACATGGTGTGCCGTCCCGGTGACCCGGGGTCTCCAACAGCGATGCTCAGCAAACCGGGGTGGGGACAACACCCTGAGCCCAAGGACGGGTGCCCACGACAAACACCAGCTGAC